GTAAAATGCTGGTATTTCAAAATTCGGAGGAAAAGTACCGGAAAACGATTTATTATTAGGGTCATTACTTCATAAGCTTGTAATGAGGGACAGTACACCCCTGTGTTGCGTGGAAGGGATTTATGGCATAAAGATGTGCTCATTTTAATGTGGTTTGAAACAGATCAAATTTCCGTTTAAATCGTATTCCCATTCTTTCCTACATCTGGAGTTTACAAAGTTCAGAAGCCTATGAATTAAAACCGGGACATGATGTTATTCTCAAATTGCCTGTTTGACTCCCGGTTTCGCTAAGTGGCCGCTTATAGGCTCTGCCACTGTACCTCAGCCGGCAGCGGGACCTCTTGGCCATGACAGTAGCCCTAATCTCTTTTCCTCATCAACAATACATATTATGTCCAAGTATTGTGTCTTGTTTTGTCGTCAGAGAAGTCTTGGGCAGCTACATTGTCTTGAGAGTTATTAACAGGTTTTTATAAAACGATCCAAATTCAAAGTACTCCATTGATATGAACGCCAATGCGTTATACAACTAAGACCAGAATTTGGCGTTTTGGTGGCATAGATCATGAGGGTTTGTGGAACGATGCGCATACGTGTAGTTTAATCTTCACAGATATTTTTATATACTTGCTAAGTTGCTCATAAATATTGGACAGGAAGGGTGATAATATTGTTAGCATTACACCAGCAACAGAAGCGCCATTTTAAAACATCTTTAATTAATAACGTCAATAATTTAAATTAATACTTTGGGACGAATCTAAGCCTACTGCTCTTTTGGTTTAGCGCCCGATTTCCCATAAAGCATTTGTCAGGGTGCTCAATTTGATTCTCGTAAGGCCCTTTATGGGTCGCTTGATTTGGCCGTTTCGTAGACCCGGACTTGGGTTATCATTATCTGAATGTCTTTTAACCTTTATTTTGTTTTTTTTTTTTTTTTCTACGTGCTCTGGCTTTTCACCTTTTGAACTAGGGAGTACCGTCCTCTATGGCTCGTTCAGTGGTTGTTGCACACTTGTTACTGCTTTAAGATTGTTCAGCCTACACCCCATGAAGAACAGTTGTATTCATTATTTTCTAAGGCCATCGAAGAAAACCTTCCTTTGTATTATGGTCCTGGTGTGCAAAATCTTATTTACGAGTGCACCTCAGATTGATTGTTTAATTTCTTCTAGGATGTTCTTTGCGGTAATTATGGACTCCTATGTAGCATGATTTTCCCAGTTTAAGTGTACTTGAGCAGCGATGGGATGGCGCCATTGTGTTCAGTTTCCTTCACGTCTTCCTCTACTACTGAGTCCTTTTTTATTTCATAGTAAGCTGGAAGTGTACCACTATGGATGAATCTATTTTGGAGTGTCCAGTTTGCCTCGACGAATTCAAACATCCTGTGATGCCCCCTTGCCAGCATGCCTTTTGCTTTTCTTGTATCTTGAAGTACATACGAGAAAGTGGGGAAAAATGTCCTATCTGCCGAACGGCCTTTGCTGAAGAGGATCTTCGACGTAGTCTGCACATTGAGCAGTTGCTCTCAGCGAAGAGTGGTATAAGTCTGATATGTAACCAAGTATCATTTCTATTTCCTATCTTTAGCTTCACCGTGATCTTGGCTCTTGCTACCTCAAAACTGATCACTTTTCGTAATATTACTCTTCTTCCAAAACCTCTATTCTCTGCTCAAAAAATTATCAATAAAACAACCTTATCCAATTAATCTGTTCGTTCAAAGGGTTTGGAGGCCGAGGAGGAGGAGGAGATGGGCGATGAATCTGGTACACTGGTGGCAGCGCTGGCTGACCTCCCCCCGTTTAAGGACGATATGGACTTCGAAGTGTGGCTTAAACTCGTCAAATTTAACCTTCCTCTCTACCCTCGACGTCAGAGGATACTTCGGATTCTTCGCGCTCTCCCCCAAGACCTGTTTTTGGCTGCAATAGACGCCGGCATCACCCCTGACACCAACCTAGAACAGTGTTGCGACACCTTATCCCAACTCGTCATTGACCAGGAAGAGCAGACTCTTGCCAGAGACTTTTTTATCGCTGCCAAAAAGTGGGTGAAGATGACGAGGAGTATGCGAAGAACCTTCAGCTTCTAGCAGAACGAGCCTTCCGTGGATCACCCCCAAACAAAGTCACTGGATGGATAGTCGTCCAGTTCAAACACGGAGTTCGACCACCCATTATGGTTGAGGAACTCTGCGGCATGAAGACCAACTCCCTCAGCCAGCTAGTCAAGTTCGCGACCAAGAAGCGTCAGGAGTTGCTTAAGATCCCGCATTACAACATTCCCAGCAGACGGTCGAATCCAGCACCCTCATATCGTGCCTCTTTGCGTTATACCCCAAGATCAGGTGAGCCCTCCTTTTCCTTATTCTGTTTGTTCCGAAAAGTCTTTTATTCATTTTAGGAAGCTCCAGGCATACTAGAAGGACGTATATGCAGTTTCCTTCTTGACTCGGCACAGCTAGTCAATAGTACTTCTTTAGGCCTTCCCTACTCATTGTCACAAGATTAGGATCGCTTCTTCGTCGACAAGATTACGTACAGCGGAAGGAAAGAGGATGATAGTAGAGGAGAAGACGTTGTTAAAGGTCCGCATAGGCAAGTAAACCTGAGTAGTGAGAATTGTAATACGCCCAGAATTGGCTTTGATCGTAACTCTCGGCGCTCATTTCCTACATAGCGCCAAAGCTGTCGTGACTTTTGTGGAGGAACCTTCCTCATTCGCCAAGGCACTGAAGCCAATACAGCTTTTTCGCTACCGAAGGAAGACGTCGATGACATTTGCAGCGCTCTTTTTGAAGCCACAGCCATTCTCATGAACAACTTGAATGACCTTTGTGCACAGCTGACTCACGTTACTGATAACGAGAGGAAACAGCTTTGCGAGTTGCTGATTAGGTACCCAAATACTTTCCCATGGCAAAGCGTTAAGCTGAGACTAACAAGTGTCGTGTCGCACGCGACAGGTACCGGCGGAGCCAAGACCATCTGGCAACCACCCAAGCGCATACCATCTCCTCCACTTGAAAAATAAGTCGTCTGGTCGAAGAGATAATTAGAGACGAGGTCGGAAAGTCATCAGTCACAATGGGTCCCTCTGAGTACTCTGGTAAAGGACGACGGAAGTCTACGGCTGTGCGTCGACCGTAGGAAGTTGAGCGCAGTAACGAAGAAAGACGCCTTCCCATTACCCCACACTAACAGTTCGTTAGACTCCTCACACGAGTCAAACTAGTTCTTCACGCTAGATTTAAAATCGGGATGGAAGCATGTGGAAGTGGCAGAAACGGACAGAGAAAGGACAGCTTTTGTATTGCCAGACGCGCTTTATGAATTTCCGTACCAACCGGCTTATTTTTCGAACATTATATAATTTATCAAGATGACATTTTAGTCCTCGGTAGAGATATTTGAGAGCATAGCGGTCAAGGCCCTAATTTCTTTACGTAACCATGCAAGACCTTCGGGATTTCCAAGATGTGCACTATGTCGGGACATCAGAAGGGCAATGGGCAGATGGAAAGAACGAATCGCGGTCCGAAGGCTTTCACTGGTGGTGCACAACTGGAAGGCTGAAATTTAAGCCCAGGACAAGTCCTCCTTGCCTACAGGGCTACAGTCCATCCACCGTTCAAGATGCTTACAGACTGTGAAATGAGATGTACCTATCGATATCTTCTAACCAAACGCGGAAGTAGCAATCAACAATGCTCCAGCGCGCGTACTGCGACTGAAAGAAGGCATATTACAAAGAAATATTAAGACCAACACAGCTAAGCTAACGTCTAGAGGGGAGACCTAGTACAAGTGTACAGGCCAATTCCCTCATCAGGAATACACCGCAAGTTCTATCAGCCGTGAAGCAAAGATGCATTCAGAGTAATGAAGGTTGTCTCACTTACAAACTGCTGCATCGGTAACGCACAACTCCGTACTCAGTCAATCACTGTTCGTCACGATATAATGTGTCCATGTAGAAGTACACCGCCAGTCGGTTAGAAAAGGTAAGTTTGCATACTGATGGAAGAGGGGAAACACCTTTGATGGCATATACGGGGACCACCCACAAGGGAGGCACCAGTGACGGTGCTTAGAAAGACAAAGCAAGCTATTTGGCGCATATTTTGTTTGAATGTACCTTTTAGGTGGGGAGCGTTCAGGGGACCGAATCGCGTAACGAACAGTCGTCAGAAATCCCCGAGGTAGAGGAGTATTCCTAACTCGCACATGGCTAACCTTTAGTCCTCGCTATAAGGACTGCCAATAGAGATGTTCTCACCCAATTAATCTGTTTGTTTCAAGGGTTCAAAGGTCAGGGAGAGAGTGCGGACGGTGGGTGGACTGCATTTCTGGAGTTTCAAAGGCAGTCGTAGAACGTCCAGGGGTGATTTTTGGGTTCTAGGAGGTTTGTTTGACGTGCACTTCAGTGTATTGCGTGGTCAAGGGGCAGGACCTAATGTCTGATGGTGCTGGCAATGCGTTTACAGAGCAGTGAGCATGCGTTCCCAACTATTGTCATTGAAACTTGCAAGACGAGAAATGCATCTGTAGTAGGCAGAAAAGATCGCGCTAAAACTTGTTGCAGTAAAAGCATTTAAGTCAAGAGTTTTTGTCCTTAGATTATTTACGAAAAATAATACTTTAACAACAAGTTATCGTCAGTCATTTTTGAGCTAGGTGCCCGAATTCAAATAAGTCATTCAGTAGAGCGCTTAATTCAGTCGCTGTTTTGTAGTTCCTGGGTTCGCACCGGTGTCATTTTGGTTGTTCTGGCCCTTATTTTTGGGGTTTTGCTACAAGTTTTAGTTTCAGTCTTTTAAACAAGAGATTACTGCCCTCCATGACTCATGCGGTACTTGTTGCATGGTTGTTAGAGCAATTATTAAAGCAAATTTCCTCCGCATTGTAATTTATTGCCAGTTAAATCGCACTCACGGGTGCACCTCAGTTTGATTACTTAATTTTTCTATGACATTCATTGTGGTAATTGCGGCTTTCTGTGTTGCATGAATTTTCTCAATTTTCGTTTACTTGACCAGCATTTTAATAACATCAGTGTTTTCTGTCTCCACCACTTTCACTTTCAGTACTAATTCCTCTCTTCTTATTTGCATTATTCAGTAGGCTGGAAGTGCATCAGTATGGACGATTCCATTTTGAAGTGCCCAATTTGCCGCGGAGAGTTAAAACATCCTGTGATGCCTCCTTGTCAGCACACCTTTTGCTTTTCTTGCCTCACGGATTTCGTGAGAAATAGGGGGAGGTTTTGCCCAACCTGCCGCAAGGCCTTTGGCAAAGCCGATCTTCGACGCAACCTGCAGGCCGTGAAATTGCTCTCAGCCAAGAGTAATGTAAGTCTGGCATCACGTCTATTTTTCCCTCTTTGACTCCTTTAAGATCATGGCCCCCACTACCTCATAACTGAGCACATTGTAATGTCGATTCATTTCAAGAACCATCGTAGGCGTTAGGCATTAACTGCTTCTGTAACATTCGTCTACTGATCCGTCGTCGCATTATTTCCTGATCCTCTTATTTTTTTTCAAAGGACCCAGTCCCGCCATGCGAATCTGATGGCTACCCAAAGTCA